TTAACCTGAATTAATCATATTCCAATGTTATAATACTTTCCTATTCCAGCCGAATATGCAGAGACGACTAAAATTAAGCAAATTGTTGGTTGGCACAAAAAATTTAAAGGAGTAGTTCACTTTTAAAAAAACTTTTGTTGATAATTTACTCACCCCCATGTCATCCAAGATGTCCATGTCATTCTTTCTTCAGTCGAAAAGAAATTAAGGTTTTTGATGAAAACATTCCAGCATTTTTCTCCATATAATGCACTTCAGTGGGAACCAAACGATTCAAGGTCCAAAAGACACTTTCATTGCAAAGTGTTCATAGGGCTTTAAACGATTCCAGACGACAATCAAGCGAAACGATCGCTCATTTAATAAATAAATAACAAAGTTTAAGTTTTACAAGCTCAAATAGTCGCCTTGCTCCGTTCTGTGATGCACGTTCGTGACCTCTCTATCAAAATGAACGAATCTTTTTCCGAGTCAATTCGTTCGTTTCGTTCGTTGCATATAAACCAAATGACTCGGAAAAAGATTTGTTCATTTTGATGAATGAGTTCGAACAGGAGAGTCACGAACACTCATCACAGAACAGAGCAAGGCGATCATTTGAGCTTACTAAACTTAAACTGTTATTTATTTATTAAATGAGCGATCGTTTCGCTTGGTAAGACCCTTATTCATCGTCTTGACATCGTTTAAAGCCAGAACAGTTAGCAGTTTCCACTGATACTGTCTATTGGAAAGTTGAACCGTTTGGTTCCCAATGAAGTCCATTATATGGAGAAAATCCTGGAATGTTTTCATCAAAAACCTTAATTTCTTTTCAACTGAAGAAAGAAAGACATAGACATCTTGGATGACACGGGGGAGAGTAAATTATCAGCAAAGTTTTTTTAAAAAGTGAACTACTCCTTTAATTCAAGTCATTTCTCTGTTTGAATACTCTCAACCAATGGTATAAGTTTGGGGCGGGGCTATATTTTTCACCGACCAACAGCAGTGTTAGGGAAACCTGTTTGAAAGCAATAATTCTTTTTCCAACTGACCCTAGCGGTGTGGAAATGACACATTTGCATTGAGAAATGTCTAGATATGACTGACGTTGCATTTCTCCAAAAATCTGCAGGCCTGCAAATGCTTAAGTAGACTAGAGTGCTCAGTGTTGATAGTTTCATTAAAATTAACTGCAAAATAAGACAAAGACAATCCATCAAGTCATTATTAAAAGTGAAAATACAGAGCTATGAAAAAAAAAGTGCACTCCATAAAAGCAGATTAAATACAGACACTATTTTGGGCATCTTCATTAGAAAAACATTAGCAGTGGTGATTATTTTCATGCAATTGATGGTGCATTGTGGGGTGACAAACAGTGGCACGCAGTCCAGTGGGTTCACAATGCAGAGCCAGAGGAGAGAGAGAGAGCGAATCAACATCAGTACAACTGAAATGAGTTTCAGTACGGGTGCCTGCAGCCGCCAAATAAATCAGTGTCCGCATACTATAATAATAAAGCTATGAGCCTACAGGGTAAACTACTCTCTCTCTCTCATGCAATCTTCACGCTCCTCTCTTTCTCTCCATCACGCTCACAGCTCTCTCGCTCGGGTGTTTTTCTCTCTCTCTCTCTCCACTTGCTCCATCCTTTTATCCCTTATTGTGTGTTTATCTCTTTTCCTGTCCCTTGCTCTCTGCAATCTAGCACTGGGTGCATAGGATTCACTGTGGCAGGTTTCTCTTGTGTACACAGACGCAGATGGGAACGAAATGTTCGACGCATATTAAGCAAATCTGTATACGGGCCAAGTCGCGGTTGTAATGCGGCACACGCAAGCAAACAGCGAAAATTGTTATGGTTAATTTAGTGTGGGCAGCATCTCTCTTAGCTCTGTTCCAGAACGGCGTGTTCTCACCAGTAAAACCATACTGGTTAACTACTGTAGCTTTATCAGTTAAAGGAGTAGTTCACTTTTGAAAAAACTTTTGCTGATAATTTACTCACCCCCATGTCATCCAAGATGTCCATGTCATTCTTTCTTCAGTCGAAAAAAAAAATTTAAGTTTTTGATGAAAACATTCCAGGATTTTTCTCCATATAATGGACTTCAATGGGAACCAAACGGTACAAGGTCCAAAAGACTCTTTCAGTGCAAACTGCAAACTGTTTAAAGGGCTTTAAACGATACCATACGATGAATAAGGGTCTTATCAAGCGAAACGATCACTCATTTAATAAATAAATAACAAAGTTTAAGTTTTATAAGCTCAAATGGTCACCTTGCTCTTTACTGTGATGAGCGTTCGTGATTCTCCTGTTGGAACTCGTTCATCAAAATGAACAAATGCTTTTTTCATGTCATTTGGTTCATTCAACGAACGAAATGAACGAGTTGACTCGGGAAATGATTTGTTCATTCTGATGAACGAGTTCGAACAGGAGAGTCACAAACGTGCGTCACAGAACAGCAAGGCAAACATTTGAGCTTATAAAACTTAAACTTTGTTATTTATTTATTAAATGAGCGATCGTTTCGCTTGATAAGACCCTTATTCATCGTCTAAAATCGTTTAAAGCCCTTTGAACAGTTCGCACTGAAACTGTCTTTTGGACCTGTAACTGTTTGGTTCCCAATGAAGTGGAGAAAAATCCTGGAATGTTTTCATTAAAACCTTAATTTCTTTTTGACTGAAGAAAGAAAGACATGGACATCTTGGATGACATGGGGGTGAGTAAATTATCAGCAAAAGTTTTTTTAAAAGTGAACTACTCCTTTAAGTTGCATATGCATATGTTAACCAGCTTGACCTGCACCAAACCTTCATGTACCTACAACTCGACTTGATTTCAATCGAGTTAGCATGTTGCTAAGCTAATTTTTTGTTGCTAAGCTGCTCTTGTTTTCCTGTTAAAATATCTAAAAATCGTTGAAAGAATATTAAGCAACACAGCATAAAATATTAGGACTTGTTTACTAAGAATATGAGGGTTGTTTTCAGACAGTAAACGAGTCAATGCACTTTTCACTTTTTTCTAAGATAAAATATACTCGTATACAATTGCCAAAGTTTTAATATCTTATGCAGTGTAGCTCAAGTAAATGTATTTTCTTCTAAGGACTTTAAAAATATGTTTTACTGATAAACAAGTCTAAAAACGACTAATTAAAAACTCATTAAGGAGTCATTTTTTACAGCGTATGCACAATAATTGGGCAAAATAGCTTTTTTTTGTCCATGTGTTCCAGTTAAGATATCTAAAAACCCTCAAAACAAGTTTACTTGATAAACAACACGGCATTAGATATTAGGACTTGTTTTCAGAGAATAGAGTGTATTTGTCTGACTGCACAAGAAGTCACAAACTACTTTTGTTTTAATATCTTATACACTGTTGCTGTTAATGTCTAGTTTTAAGAATTTTTTTTAATGTTTAACTGATAAACAAGTAAAACAAAGGCTAATTAAAAACTCATTAAGATTTTTTTTTAAAATTAGATTGAAGTATTTTTATCAGTTCTTTTCAGGATTGAATTAAATGCATTTAAAACCAACTTCGTTCATCATTGCATCCGTTCTGGGATGCCGTACATTAACATTTGGCCAAAAATAGGTACTGTATGTTACTACATTTCAGATTAGCCTTCGCTAAACATAAAAATGCTGTCTAAGTAGGAAGCTCACCAGGTTTTGGAACTACACTTATCTTCCGTCCTGAAACATTTCTGCAATGTGCATTTATTTAACGCATGGATTATTTATTTTTTTCTGAAATATTGTAATGTGAATCACTGCCACCCGTGCCTTTTCTCTCCTCCTCCGGTGTCACTCATTCTCTGCCTCCCTCTGTTATGGCTGGGCGGACGACACTGGCCCCCGATAACAATTAAAAAATAACAACAGCCATCATAAAGGCCGCCCGCTATTTGGACAGGCGCATCAATCCAGAAGCGCTCTGGTTTCTTCTCTTAATTAACCCTGCTGATTGAGCGGGCGCGCTGTGTGGCTCGCTGACCTTGAGGAGCACGACGTCTGTTCAATCAGAGAGCACTCCTCGTGTTCCTCCGCATAATAGATCAGTTCAGAACCTGATTGTTAAGTCATGTCGGGGTAATCTAAGGTGCTTCATGAGAATGCCAGATGAGATATGAGCACTTTAGCTAAGCTTTAATTTCTTCCGGAGAGGAGGAGGAGGAGGAGGATGGGCAGGGAGGGGAACGTGTAGCCCTCACGCTTAAAAAAAAAAAAAAGACATCTGGAAGGAAGTAGATGGACACTGGGTCTGAATATGCGTACAGTACTTCCTTTCACACCGTTGAAAAGTTTGGAGTCAGTAATATTTTTTAAAAAGGAATGGACAGTAAAGAGCTTTATAATGTTACCCCAAATTATTTCAAAAATGCTGTTTTTTTTTAATTATTTTTTTTACTTTCGTGAAAACAGTGCATCACAATCTCTAAAATATTAAGCATCACAATTGTTTTCAACATTGATAATAATAATAAATGTTTCTTGAGCAGCAAATCATCCGAGTGATTTCTGAAGGGTCATGTGATACTGCATACTGGAGTAATGATGCTGAAAATTCAGCTTTGAAATCACAGGAATAAATTACATTTTAAAATATATTAACATAGAAAAAAGTTATTTTCTATCGTAATAATATTTCACAATATTGCTGTTTTTGCTGTATTTTTGAACAAATAAATGCAGCCTTAGTGAGTACATTTACATTTATTCATTTAGCTGACGCGCTTTTATCCAAAGCGACTTACAAGTGATTTATGTCAAAGGTCGCACGCCTCTGGAGCAACTAGGGGTTAAGTGTCTTGCTCAGGGACACACAGAGTATAAGTAACTTCTTTCAAAAACATTGTTTTCTTAAAAAAATTGCCCCAAACTTTTGAACAGAAGTGCATGAAAAAGTTAAATGTGAAATGTTAAAAGGGATGACATCATGTAAAATAAGTATTTACTTGTAATGTAAATAAAAAGAAAGGCTTCACTAGAAATAAAGAGTCAGTGGAGTTCTTTATTGAACCATATAGAGGTCTTACGCCAGAGAAATTACTTAAATTATCGCATATACTGTCATGTTCACACGCTGTTTAAATCATAAAATTGAATTCAAATGAAAATAAAACTCATTATTCAAACTAAATAATCTCATAATAATAATTATAATCTCATGATGAAGCACCTGACAGTAGAATAGAATATAAGGTTAAGAGTGTATTTGGATTATCTAGATGACAATATTGTGATAATATGTTTTTGAACAGGCATTACGGTCTAAGAGGATTTTGCGAGGGGCCAAATCTTGTATTTTTACTCCAAAACCTACTGATCATAGGTCTACTACGTCAATGTTTAAGAATAAGTTCTTGATTGAATTCAGTTCGGTACCAGTGTGGCCATGCTTAGTCTCTCTCGCTTCCATGGACACGCACGAGAGCGAATGAAGAGAGAGCAAAAGAAACGAGATTGAGAAAAAAGCACTGGTGTCAGCAAAAGATTTATAAGAAACAGAAAAGGCATGTGATTCTAGACTGTATGTTGTTGTGTTTTTCTTGGCTGGAGGGTTTGAGTCTCTCCCCGTCTCCGTCTGTTTTTTTCCCTTGATCTCTTTTTTTCTATTTGGTTCCCATCACGAGTAATTCGTCCCCGTGAACACACAACAAGATAAACAGTTTGTGTTGTAAGCCATTATCTCTGTGAAAGTAAAACAACAGGCACAGGGAGAGGTACCAGGCGACAGGCGGTTGGAAAATGACTTCCTGTTTCTTCCCCTCAGGTTCTAAACCCAGACCGGACTCCGACACCTGCTGTGCGGCCACATATTTATTTATTTAGCGTGTTTATTTCTTTATTTTCGGCTTTATTACTCTGTTTTTTGTCTGTTCGTCGACGTGTTTTTCATATTTATGCCCCTGGTTAGAGTGCGCGGTCTGTGCTGAGTCAAAAAATGAAAGCACATCGCAGATAGAGCAATAAATGAAAAGCGCTTGCATCTGCGATCGGCTCCTCGGCAGGGCAGAGGCGTGTGTGTGTGTGTGATTAGGTGTGCGGCCTGACTCTCCAGACACGGAGGAGAGAGAAAACGGGACATTCGGGAATCGTGCTCGACAAGAGTTTTTCTCTCATCTCGGCGAGCAGAGATGTCAAGCAAATCACGTACTTACAAACACACATACGTTTGTCTCATTTCATACAACGACATGATCAGCGACAATAAACACGGCGGGTTTTCCAAACGCAGGAAACGCTGACTGACGCCAATGTTTTCCTGGTTTAACTCACTTTTCTGAAGCACACTCACATTATACAATAGATACATGGTACGACCAAATCATTCAGTTTACCGTCGGCTAATGTCAGTCCGAGGAGTTGTGAATCTTCTGTGTGATTCAAATGATTCAGTCGGGGAATCCCGTTTCCCTAATGAGCAAGCAGCTATATCTATAGCAGACCCTCTTCCCGAGAAGGGAAAAAGAATGAATGAAAGAGGGGATAGAACAGTTGTCCGCTCGTTTTGCCCTCCGATCTGTCGTTCTTGTCGTCCCTCGATGATAGTGTGTTGGGATGTGTTGTGTGAGAGAGAGAGTGTGTGTGTGTGTGTGTGTGTGTGAGTGAGGGTTTTACCCCCAGAAAAGGGCAATCAGCAGCTGAACCGTGAGTAGGAAGTGAGGGACGGAGAGGGTGGTGGCCAAGCCGTGGACTCTCCCGGCCTCAGAGCCCAGGTTAGTGACTGTCGCCTTGTCCGAGAACGGAGGGATGACGTTGAACCCTCCTCCGGTTTGGTCTTCTTCCTCCTCCTCCTCCTCCTCCTCCTCCTCCTCATCTTCTTCTTCTTGGCTTTCTTCCACCTTTTGGAAACAGAGAAATGTCTCTCAACAAACTTGGATTTTTTTTGTGTGCGCTTTTTCACCTCGTTACAGGGGTCAAAAAAAGGCCGGCCTACAAAAATGTGCTTATAAATCTCTCATTATGCTATGTTTTTGCCAAATATTGGATTTAATGTTTTTATCAACTTGTTTTCTTTCATTTAGGACAGGTTTTGTATTTCATTTTGGAACTTTTGATCGTAGGCCTCATTAATATACTTATAAGTATAACGAAATCGAAAAACGAACTGATGTGACGTCATTTTGAACAAAATCAAGACAAAACAAACTTTGTTTGGAGTTCATTTGGGAGTTTGAAACAGCTTGCCACTTTCCGTTAAAGTTCGCTCCGGCTGGTAAACACCTTTTGTACCACCATTGGAAAGTGGTGGTTACGTAACAGGTAGGTGTGTGCAGAGGCTCCGCCTTGTTTCGCATGGAAAATCTTTTCCAATTCATTTCTCCTGTTGAGTCTGTCAAGGTCAGACATCCGCAAGTGAAAACATTAATGCATTGGAGAGCTGCTTTAAAGGAGTAGATCGCTTTAAAAAAAAAACTTTTGCTGATCATTTACTCACCCCCATGTCATCCAAGATGTCCACATCTTTCTTTCTTCAGTCGAAAAGAAATTAAGGTTCCAGGATTTTCTCCATATAATGGACTTCATTGGAAACCAAACGGTTCAAGGTCCAAATGAGAGTTTCAGTGCAGCTTCAAAGGGCTTTAAACGACACCAGACGATGAATAAGGGTCTTATCAAGGACCCCTCGAGTCATGACAGAGCAAGGCGAGCATTTGTGCTTATAAAACTTAAACTTTGTTATTTATTTATTAAATGAGCGATCGTTTCGCTTGATACGACCCTTATTCATCGTCTGAAATCGTTTAAAGCCCTTTGAACAGTTTGCACTGAAATTGTCTTTAGGACCTTGAACCGTTTGGTTACCAGTAAAGTGCTTTATATGGAGAAAAATGCTGGAATGTTTTCATCAAAAACCTTAATTTCTTTTCAAATGAAGAAAGAAAGACATATATATATATATATATATATATATATATATATATATATGAGATCTTGGATGACATGGGGGTGAGTAAATTATCAGCAGAAGTTTTTTTTAAAAGAAGTGAACTACTCCTTTAACTAGAGTACCGAATTGCAGAGCTTGTGCAAACATATCCATGTTCCAATGATCGTATGCTTTTCTTACGCTTTATAAAAAAAAATGCTTGCTGATTTCTCATTTTTGTTGCATGTTTATTTTGTTATTGAGAGGAAAGCACGCAGCACAACTTATTCATCTAAACGCTGCTCTCTGCAGTGTGGATGTCGTCGGATTGTACGCTGCTCACGGATTTCAAACTTTATTTTACCCCCAAGCGAAGAACGGAAAAGATTTTCGCCATGAGTATATCAGGGCCGTTAATCTTCACTTATGCACTATTTTTTTGAGGTAAATAAGCAAGAGTGAACTTTTTCACTAAAAACAGGTTCATAAGCTCAGATTAATGTGGCCTATGATCAAAAAGAAATACACAGCCTGTCATAACTGAAAGAAATCAAGTTGACAAAAAGATTGACTTCATTTGGTGATAATGTAGCATAATGAACTATTTACAAGCAATTCAAAAGGCTGGTTATTTATGACAGGGAACACCAATTTAGGTAAAAGACCTTCAACACAGCACAAGGGTTGTAGAGTGCAATAGTGCCTTTCCACTTTTTCAGCGACCTTGGTTCTGGAAGTATTTATCTTTTTCCATAGAGTTTTTTTTTTATAAGCCATTGACCAAATCAATCAGCTTTGAGGTAAGTCACAAAATTACAAAACTTGATTTGAAGTAAAAAAGTATTTGAAAATTAAACAAAGACAAAGCTGCATAATAAATATATTTGAAGTAGTTTGAGAGTACAGTGAAACTGACTCCCGGTCATTCACAGTGTTTCATGGAAGTGGACGGGTACTAGTAGTTTGCTTGTAGCAGTTCTCTGATTGGTGGAGATTTCTCTTCAGAATCATGGGTAATGTCTTTTATATAAAATGATGGTCGATATCTTAAACCAAATCATAAAGTCGTATACCATTGATTAACAACCTTGTAGCTTGTGCTAGGTCTGTCTTTAAAGGCTTATATTTTATTGTTCAAAATCAATTCCCCATGGAGAATTCTCCATTTACTTCCAGAACCCGACTGTTGCAGTGTATTGCATGAGTTTGAAGGAGGGTCTATTTGCTGTCCGACTAATGGCAGTTAGAGTGTTTGGTAAAGTGTTTTTTTAATTACTTTTCCTCTAATACAAAGTAAACAACTTGCCAAGTATTCACTGCAATAACAAAATGGAAAGAATGATCGCATCCAAAATAAAAGTTTGTGTTTATATAATATATGTGGATGCACTGTGTATTATTATTTTATATATATAAATACACACACATGCTTGTATATTTAAGAAATCTTTTCATGTATATACTTTATATAGATTTATATATAAATTATATTAAATATAAATATAAATATTTTATATAGAAATTATATTTTTCTTAAATATACATGCATGTGTATATATATATATATATATATATATATGTAAATACAAAATAATTATACACAGTGCACCCACATATATTATGTAAACACGAACTTTTATTTTAGTCGCGATTAATCGTTTGACAGCACTCATAATCAAATAAATTCCAGCTCACATGACTATATATATATATCTATATATCTATATATCTGAGGAATCATATGAGAAAAAAAATTAATCACCTGAGAAATACATTTTTAGAAAATTGGGAGCAGTACGATGGTGAGTATTTGTCAGAGAGGGGCCGAGAGATCGTGAGGGAGAGGGATTAGGAACGAACGATAAAAGGAGGAGAAAGAGAAAAAGAGTTAGCGAGAGAGACAGACAGATGGGGACGAATACATTAATATTAATGAAGTTTGACTGATACACCGTGCTTGCAAACACCTTTAGTTAATCCGTTCAGAGAGAGAGACAGGCCGAGAAAGTGAGAAGCACATCAAGAGAGACAGATCAGGAAAGACAGAAACATTTGGAGAGGAGAGATTTGCTGGAAAATACAAGTGAGAGAGTGAGTCTAGGAAAGAAATAAATGACAGCAGAAACTGAATTGAATCCTTTTTGTCTGTGGGCCCAGATTATCTCTAAGCTGAATGCTGTGGTCTGTGTGTTCTGAGAACAGAGGATGTGAACACAGTCCAAAGCGAGGACATGGGAACACAAAGACACACAGATCAGAGCAGCATTTCTTGATAAAGTGTGTATGCCTATGGATGCCAAGGGATTATTTGCTTTTCTTCTATGTGGGCAGTGAATAGACAATCCATTTTACAATATATAGTCAAGTAAGTGTTGCTATCACGACTGTGTCATTCCCTGAAGCGCAAAAAAACTGTGCGGCTATCAAGGAATTACTTTTGCTGGATATTATGCTACTGCTAATGCTAATAACACAGCCAGGGGGGCAGGATTTAGCCCATTCGCTTTAGTACTACACCATTATGCTGTCAAAAAGCAAGCTTCTTTATTGACAACCATTAAAAAGAAGCCAACAAAATTATTTTTGCAAGAAATATTCATTACAAAAAAATCTGTAGTGTACAAGATGATTTATTGGGATGGTGTTACTCCCTGAAGCTCTTGTAGCTTAAATTTGTCTATCAAGAAATGACTTTGGCACAGATATTATGCAAATTCTGATAGCTTGTCAATAGGGTCAGGTTTGGGTAGTTAGTGTTAACAGTTTGCCTCTCCTGGTAGATGCTTTTTTTTTTCAGAAGTAGCAAACAAAAAAAAATACAATTATTTTGATTAATTAATTTTTTTAGTTAAATAATTTTAGATTTCATCACCAGCCACTTTATTTATGTATTTATTTATTTACTCATTTTTATTGAATTGCATTTAATTGCACTTGTGATTTATATATTTATTTACAGGGCCTAAAACTTTTTGCCACAACTGCCAATGGCCAGTGACTTCTAAAATCTACCAGCCATAAATATATATTTTTTTTTTACCAGCATTGAAATGGTGATTAATCCTTATTAAAGTTACAAAGTCAAGAGCAGTGAGTGATTTTTTTTTTTTTGTCTTTTGTTTGATTTAAACCGGACTCAGGCCCCGTCCACACTGCTGCGTTTTCGTTTAAAAACGGAGACCTTTTGCTACGTTTGCACCTCCCGTCCACACTAAAACGGGAAAAACGAAGACCTAAAACGGAGAAGTTTAGAAACGCTGCAGCTGCGTTTTGCGTTTTGAATCTCCGGAGGGCGTTTTAGTGTGGACGAGACAAAACGGAGAACTTCAGAAACGCTGACGCAGAGGCTGACGCTTGGCTCTATGATTGGGTGTTATCAGTCATGACGTTTCCTTCCCTGATTCGTCATTCACTGTTTACACCGGCACGCGCATGCCCAGTGTTGGTGAATGGTCACGTGATCCGCGGTTTCAGTCGTTTTAATGTGGACGGAGATCGTTTCTAATACGCAGATAAAACGCTGGTGTGGACGGAGATCGTATTCGTTTTAATTCTCCGTTTTTAAACGAAAACGCAGTAGTGTGGACGGGGCCTCACACTGTATGATTCTGGCCAAAATTTGACCATCTGAGCCACATTTTGCAAATCCTAAAAGATTCCTCTGATCCTAGGTTAAAATCTGAAGTCTTTGACCGTTAGTTTGACATGTTCACCGACAGCTGATGAATAACCATTGCGATCTAAATTCTGACAGTGTCAAAAGATTTGACTCACAGTCCTGCAGTGTGGCTTCTCCTACGACAACCGTCTAATTGTCTTAAAAATAAAACTGTGACCAAAATAACCGTTAGAGATTTCTTTTTAGTCACCTTTTCAATCCTACGTGTAATGCAGCTCACCATAACCATTGATTGATGATGTAAAACTCTTGTGTTTTTAACGCATATTGTATCATTAATGACAGCTGAGATCTTACAGTGTTTCATGGATTACATAGGGGATCGTATTCGTACAGTCTGACAAGAAACAACCGTAAAGGACTATTATAAATCTCACTGTATGCATTAAAAAACAGCAGGTTTATTAGGCTGCTGTCACTTTAAGACCTGATGAATGGATCCAATATAATGTTGCATTTTCTTTCTCAACTGTTTACGTTCACATAAGACATAACTGATTGTTTATAAGGACACTTGGGCAGTTTGACAATTTAGTTTGAAAATGTCTGTTTAGGAGCAAGAAGATGCGAAAGGGATTCTATGCGCAAGTAATTAATTGATTTCCTTCTCGCATCATCTTGCGCTTGAATATTGAAATTGGCAAGGCTTAAACTTTCGTGACGATGCAGCACTGGCCTATCTAAGCACTGTTCATGTTTGTTTACGTTCATGTTCACATAATATTGCATATCGGTTGGAGTACCGCTCGGAGTAGGGTGAGTAGGACCGGAGCATAAAATTGGTGCCGTGACCCAGATGAGGAAGTGAGGTTTTGAGTGTAAAGGAGGCCAGCTAGTGAGACCTGTGCAGATATACACATCTGATTCAGGTCATAAGCTCATTAGTAGAGTCTCCAAGACCTGAAATGGGTTGTGTCAGACAAACGAGTGATGCAAAATATGCATTGTTTGGTGGGGCATGGTTAAACCATTGAGTTAGGCTCAATCCCAACTCACCCCTTGTCCCTACCCCTCCATGTCTAGGGGTAGGGAGTCCCGATTCTTGTTGAGATCGAGGGATAGGGCGAAGGGGCTACATAGCCCTCGAAACTGAGATTTTTCAGAGGCACACTCCAAACGGAGGGCTACGAGAAAGTTCACAGAATGCATCACAAATGACCAGCGAGATGGCTTCGCAAACAGTTAAACGTTGAAATTTAGTGCCAGATGATTCTACTATGCACTTTATTTACTCTTATAATAATACTATAGTCATTAACATTAAGAAATGGTATAATAAATTACCTTTACGAATCAGAAAAGACATACATTTCGAGGAAGGAATGTTATAATCATCATGTTTATTCAAAGTTAAGAGCAGCTGCGCTGATTGTCAGTCGTTGTCATGGAGAAATCCTGTACAAACTCCGTAACGGCAGAGCCATCGCCGATGACTGATGGCGTATCGGGTTCATGAAGGGTTGTTCCATTTCGTTGGGGAATATTTCAACCCCTTGGCCCTCTCTGTTTTAAGGGCCAAGGGGGACACTCGAAAACAAGGAGTCGGGCCAAGGGGGGAATTGGGATTGAGCCTTACACCACTGCTAATAACTTTTCACGGCTTACTGATAAATGTTCAGAGAAATTGATGCAAAGTGTATAGTCAGTTTTAGATACAGCATAAAACCAAGGTAACCACAAGACAAATGAAAGATCTGATCCAGTGACTCTGCCTACTAAGTCTCATTGAGTCATTTAAAGTTTGGCGGTTGGCCATAATGAAAGAAAAATAAAGCTGACACCCTCATTCCAAAGCACAATGTAATCTGACTAAAGGGAAGAGCAAATCGATATAGATTTAATTCCTTTCCATGATTGTGTTCTTGAGAGCCTGTGGGTCGTGTGATTATTTCTGATTGAATTGAAGGTGGCAGTTCAGGCAGTTTGATTCGACCCCACAGTGATCTCTTTAAATACATGTGCCGTTTGTTTACCATCTTTGTGCAGGCCTGAAAACCATGACATCAAGTGAACATATCCGTGAAATTACCATTTTAAAGTATGATAAAGAACAAATAGGACATCTTAACAAGGTCATGTGCGTGGTGTCAAACCTTAGGTCAAAGCATCGTGACCTATTGATTTGGTTAAAGAAATGGGTTTCTTTTAAAGCCACTAAAGAGACAGAACAACAAAAACACGCAATCATTACTCTTGTTCTGAAATACATGCACCACTGTTGAATCAATACAGTAAATTAACAAGGTGCATCCATTACGCACGTGGGAAGCCACACTAAATGCAAAGGTGGGAATTCTGAACAAGCGGTTTTGTGCTTACTGTAGCGGCGTGTGACCATGTGTTTTCTGCAGTGACACGATCAGCCGCGTGTAAACGCTTCACTTCAGCTCTCTGATCTATCAGTATGCTCAAAGCGGCTGGACTGCGGTTTTGTTCGGTTTGTGCAGTAAGTAGTTTTATAAATCTGACGTATGAAAGGGCCAAAATCAAACACAAGGACAAACTCGTGGGTCATTCGGTTGTTAAATCGATGCTATGACCACAACCAGAATTAAAGGGATACTCCACTTTTTTTGGAAATAGGCTCATTGTACAACTCCCTTGGGTTTTACCGTTTTCTAATCCATTCAGCCGATTTTTTGATATTTAGAAGAATATCAGTAACCAGACAGTTTCTGGTCTCATTGACTTCCATAGTGGAAAAAAAATATACTATGGAAATCAATGAGACCAGAAACGGTCTGGTTACTGATATTCTTCTAAATATCAAAAAATCGTCTGAATGGATTCGAAAACGGTAAAACCCAACTGTTTAACTCTGGGGGAGTGGTAAAATGAGCCTATTTCCAAAAAAAGTGGAGTATCCCTTTAAGAATCAGGTTTATTGTGCTTACAAAGAACTCGTACACATGGGCGGAGCTTTATAAATGGTTCTTCTATATGTATATTATTTTGAGTTGGCATTGGAGCTGGAGGCGATTGATAGTTTTATGGTGGTTCTGTGTTAGGAAATGTGTTCACTACTCACTGCATTGGGTTCAGGCAGAAGGTTGATGTTCAGCTCATCACGCTGGACCTGAGGGGAGGGGCGAGGTGGAGGAAGGGGCGTTCCCTCTACTGGACGAGGGGTGGAGCTTCCCATGTTATCAATGGCATTACCTGTCCGGTAAAGAGATCGGGTGAGTTTAAGGCTGTTTTTTGTTGTTGTTTTACAGTTTTACTTGCTAATAAGAATAATTATATGTATATAAGTATATGAATACAGATACTGATCTAAAATATAAACGATTTTAAAACCATTTAAATTTTGTGACTTTTACTTTATATCTTTATATTATTTCTGTATCCTAGTGTACTACAAAAAGTTGACAGAATATACATTTAGTCCATATCTACGTTCAAAAATAGCAATGACTATCTCTAGTCATATAAAAAATATTGCGGATAGCATAGTTCAGATGTTTTGTCTCAGAAGAATTTGATGAGAGATGCTTGAGTTTGTATTAAAATCTTGATTGCAGTCTTTTGAGCACTGTTTAATACATTGTTGAGATCACTTCTGAAACTTAAGAGTAGGTATACACTACCGTTCAAAAGTTTGGGGTCTGTATTTATTTTATTTTTTTAAGAAGTCTCTTATGCTCCCCAAGTCTGCAATTATTTGAGCTAAAATACAGTAAAACCAGATATACTGTGAATTTACTATTTAATCATTACAATTTAAAATAAGTTTTCCATTTTAATATATTTTTAATGCAATTTATTCCTGTTAAAAAGCACAGCATTTATTTGAAAAATAAATCGTCTACAAACCTTAAAAAAAAACTTTGGTAAAATTATAAATGTCTTTCCTGTCACTTTCGACCAATTTAATGCATCCTTGCTGAAAAAGTATTAATTTCTTTAAAGGAAAAACCTGTAGTATTTTCGAATTACCATGCTTTCCACCCTCATATCCCCCTGAGACGAGAGATTTATGTATTTTTTTGTCTGGAAAAAATAATCAGATGACGCAAAAATCGTCATTTTGCGTCATCTGAGGATTTTTTGGCCAAAGGTAGGGTCTGTCTGTCCCGCATGTTCTCAACCCGCCCATAGAGGGTGGATCTCACTCACAGAATGGACACATAGTGTCAGCCATGTTTTTTTGGAAGCTAAGCTAGCAGGCTCTTGTTCCGTGAAGAAAGCTGAGTAGTAGCGGTTACCATCCTCTTTTTCCCGGACATGTCCGGCCGTCGATATTCGGGATTCAGCTTTTGCTTTCTGCAGTCGCTATTCATTGTTTACATGCACAGCTTTTGTTTCAATCTAACTGAATTCATTCTGATTGCTGAATCTGAGTGTAGTGTTTACATGAACGCTAAACAAGTGATCGGTTGATGTGTGCTTTAACATTGCTAAGACAATTCCCGCTCCTCCGTGAGAGATATGAGACCGGTGCGTCTCACAGGTGTCGCTCATGGCTCATTGCCGTTCTCCCGCGGCCCTCACTCGTCCCGCTCGCCATAGTAAACATGATGAATGGCGACTGTAGAACGCAAAAGCCGAATCCCATACATTTTGGCCGATCTCAAAACACATTTTCGGGCAGACTCATCACGGAGACTCACTAGTAGCCTAGACTTGTTGTTTAACTACTGCGCTCTGTTACCGGTAGGCGTGGCCTCCTAGGGCAGCGAAGCAAGTGCATTCTGGGAGTTGTAGTCTTTCATCCACATAAGCCAAAAATAAATTTTCTGGCTTTTCTCAGTCTAGAAAGCTCCAAATTTAAAAATCATTTTACATTTCTTCTACATAAATGACCCATTTTAAATACACATTCATCTTTCCAGAGGTGAAGTATCCCTTTAAGCAAAAAAAAAAAAAAAAGATGATTTATGACATTACTGGGAATCTGAAATCTCATTTGTGATTTGTGCCAAGCCATAACTTAAAATTGGCTATTTAAAAAAAAAACCTGCACAAACTTTCTGTTTCAATAGGAAACATGTCATCACAGAAGAAAAATTGTGAATGTTATACCACAAATATGTCAGAGCAGTGCCATATTTACACTCTTTTTCTGTGACATTACGATGATCTGTAAATGATATTCTGGGACACTCACGCAGGCAGGTGTTGCTGGTGAACATGTGCAGGATACGCAGGCAGTCCTGCCACTGGTTCCCGCTGCCTTCGCAATTACACCACTGCGACACCTCTGTACTGCTGTTACTCACGTAGTTTGGTGTCATTATGGTACCTGTGGAGGGAGAGAGAGAGAGAGAGAAAGGGGATGAGAGCCAGCCAGAGGAAAAAATCCCATGCCAATTAGCCCGAAGCCCATCTGGGAGAATCTCCAAGAAGTGTAGTCTATCCACCCCCCTCCACTTTAATTATGTTGCTTCAGGTTGTCCTGCTAATTCAACATAAGTGCCACAGTGGGCTAAAGTAAACCCACGACATGAAGTTGAACCCAAACTCCACTGACCAATCATTCCCGTTACCAATTCTTGTTTGAGTGAGTAACTCACTCCATAAGGACGCAGAAGTGCTCGTCATTAAAAATGTAATATTATTTAAGTACAGACCGCGCAGTGACGTATCGATTTGTGCGTTTTGTACTCCTCATTAAGCGTCCATTTTTTTCAAGGTCGTCCGAGGTGGTTTCTCACCGATGAGCCCAGCGTAGGCCTTGAGGCACACGGCTCCACTTTCCCGGAGACAGCCGGAGGGAGAGACAGAAGACGGCTGACAGTTCTGCTGGAAATCAGCCAGTCTTGACCTGATGGACCAGACAAATTTGAATACAGACACAGAATGATTCAACTAAAATGTATGTCTACACAAAATGCATGATCTTTGTAGTGTGTTCAGTTTTTGTCAGGAGTGTAGGAATGATTTGAAAAGTGAGGGGGGCACATTATCAGTGTTGTTCGTGAATATTAATTAGGTAATGTAATGTTCACCCTATGTAACTGGTTTGCTGACACACAAGTTATGTGGATGATGGCTATATTAGGTTAATTCTTTCCTTGGTTTTGTATCTAATGCGACTGGTTTACAGTGGCTTCTGCTCGGTCTCGTGTCATTGTGATATTTTTACTCTGCCTCCCTCCCTACTGTTGAACAGTGTTACTAGAACAGTGTTTGTTTATTGTTATTTTTATACTATTATAGTTTTTATTAATATTTTGAATTAGCTTTTATGGTGATGTTGTTATTTATATGCTATTATAGTATTTATTACTATTTGGAAATCATTTTTTTACATTTTCTTTTTTAATTTTAGTTTGTCACTTTTTGTTAATTTGACATTTTTATTAGTTAAAGCTAAATAGAAATAATAAAAAGCATTATTCATTTTTTTTAATTTCAGTTTTAGTCATTTTAGTACTAGAAATTAAACATTTTATTTCAGTTTGTGGCTAAACTATAATTTCTCATTTTTTTAGTTTATTAATTATACAGTTTTCATGTAATATTCATACCTTATTTAATCGATTAAAGGAGTAGTTTGATCATTTACTCACTCCCATGTCATCCAAGATGTCATTCTTTCTTCAGTCGAAAAGAAATTAAGGTTTTTGATGAAAACATTTCAGGCTTTTTCTCCATATAATGGACTTTAATGGGAACCAAACGGTTCAAGGTTCAAAAGACAGTTTCAGTGCAAACTGTTGAAAGGGCTTTAAACGATTCCAGACGACGAATAAGGGTCTTATCAAGCGAAACGATCGCTCATTTAAAAAAACAACAACAACAAAGTTTGACGAACTCGTTCATCAAAATTAACAAATCTTTTCCCGATTTCGTTTGTTGAATTAACCAAATGACACGAAAAAAAGATTTGTTCATTTTGATGAATGAGTTTGAACAGGAGAGTCACGAACGCGCATCACAGAACAGAGCAAGGCGAGCTTATAAAATGTAAATTTTGTTATTATTTTTTTTATGAGCGATCGTTTCGATTAATAAGACCCTTATTCATCGTCTGAAATCATTTAAAGCCCTTTGAACAGTTTGCACTGAAACTGTCATTTGGACCTTGAACCGTTTGGTTCCCATTGAAGTCCATTATATGGAAAAAAATCCTGGAATGTTTTCATCCAAAACCTTAATTTCTTTTCAACTGAAGAAAGAAAGACATGGACATCTTGGATAACATGGGGGTGAGTAAATTATCAAAGTGAACCACTCCTTTAAATTATGCAAAACAATTTTGAATAGTAGTTTTAGTTAACAATAAGTCGGGATTAATTTAGTGACTAATTCGATTTGTTAGATATCTAATGCTATTTCGTGGTATTTTTTTTAAAGGACTGCCTCCATTTGAGAAAACGACCCACGCTAACGAAAATGTGTCCATGTTGGTAAGTTAGTGTCTGCATTTTCTACACATTTCTCATTTTTATCCTTGTTTAAATGCACAGCAGACGTGTCTAAACGTATAGTATGCGACCTGTTGTCCTTTCTTCCATCCAGCTCAGCATGTTCTGTGCTATTAATGATGCTTAGATAAGCATAACTGCCAGAGACATCTGTTTCTAGAAGAAGATAAAAGGGAGGTCTTGTACTTCAAGAAGAAAGGTGGAAATTATCATGCTGTGCTGTTATCAAAGCTGAGGTTTGACTAGTTTGAATGAGGGTTAGCACATCTGATGACAGTGTGGTATGTCAGAATCGGTTACACAAATTGGTTCTTTCAAACTGTTTTTTCAAAGAACTGATTCAGCAGATCTTTACATCATCATTTGGTCTCTGTCATTCTCTCATGGCATGTTACATGCTCTAGTCTAAAACATTCAAAGAAACCCTGTTTTGAACTTTTTATTTTAAATAAGGGTGTTTGTTGTTACAAGTGCAGTTGTTAAAAGTCACTATTTTGGTGGGAGTCAAGTTGGGAGTCAAAGTGCTCACCATAGAATATAGTTATCCATTTTACACGCTTAGAAAAGCGCAACGTTTTATTTTGTGTCTCCGTCCTAGGTCGAGATACACTACTCGTGTAACTGTATTTAAATAGGGAAAACGTGGAGGTGTTTGGTCGCTTCTCTGCTTGGCACCATATTGAATGAACTGGGCTAGTTAAGTGCTATCAAAGTGTCTCGCGCGCCAGAGCGATTGAGACGACAGAGGTAACATAGTTTAATATGAAAAAACGGTGGAGTATCCCTTTAATATTTCACTGAAAACTGTTATAGGCAACTGTACATTTTCTTTCAGTATTCTTTGATGAATAGAAAGTTCAAAAGAGCGGCATTTATTTCTACCAGCAATGTTTTTTAAATGTCCTTACTGTCAATTTAAAGCATCCTTGATAAATAAGAATGAAAGAAATCGCACTGACCTTTAGACATTTGAACGGAAGTGCGGGCCATTTTCTCAGAAAAGGCAGTGGACATATTTCAGATGCGTTTTATTTGTAACATTTCTGCTTTTAAAGATTTCTGACATGATCTAAATGAGTTCGCTTTGTGAATGAATAATTCATCCAATTAATAAACATTTATTATTATGATCAGTGTTGGAAACAGTTATGTTGCTTGATATTTTGACGAAACAGACAGAACTCAAAATAATTATTGATTATTCAAATTTGGTTTTATAGCTGTTTTCACAGGAAATATTGGTATTAAACTGTTTGTTTTTCTTTCCACAGACCCCCAGAACCACCTTTGCAGTCCCCTGGAAGAAAACATTTCCAAATTAACCAGGATTTTTTAATGAGAAATAATAAGAGTGGTTGACAAGTCACCATACGAAAGGTAAACACTCTCTCGGATGGTCCAGGCACTGTTGTTCCATGCGAGCCTCAATTGATTCATTGAAAAGATCCAAATCTGATATTTGTACCGTGCACAACTGCTAACAGACGCGTATCTCACCTGCACATGTTGTCTCTGAGGCAGTAGCTCTCCAGATGAAGGCAGTTGGGCTGTCCGTCTCGCTCCTCGTAGGAACAGGAGGGCACGATGGTTTTTCTCCTCCTCTCCCCGCATAGAGTATCCGAACAGGGGCAAAACAAGACACCAAAGCTGTACTCCTCGGGAACACGCTCCAGGAACCTCCGCAGGGCCCGGTGGCATTTGTGCCGGTTACAGTGGTTGGTGCCAGGTATGATCTTAGTGCAAGCTAACGCATACTCAGAGCGCAGGGAACCGCACTTCTCGTACAACCCACAGTCCTGAGCTGCTTTCAGACACTGGTTCTGATCCGTCAGAGGAAGGGACGACACTGAGAAAGAGGAAAAGAGACTTTCAATGAAGTGTCCCAATACTTTTTGGGGTCTGACTCTATACAAAGCGAGCAAGACAAGGCAAGACAACTAGGAAAACGCTATTAAACCCAAACATGCAAACACACAGCGATACACTACGTCCGTCATCACAGTGCATTCAGCTGTGGAGGAAAACGTTTTATTTGGTCGTATCACTGACGTGTCTGCTGTACCTGAAACTATTGAGGCTAGTTTTGATGTTTCAGTATTTCTCACAAGTTCCAGTTCAATGTCTTCATATGGGGACGTCTCAATGTCATCATAACCTGCAATGCATACACACACACACAACCGTAAGACATCAGATTGTTTGAGGCTAATTAAGCACGCCTTATTACATCTAATGAACCGCACCGCATATGATCAAATTAGAGATTATATAATATTTCCTTGATTATGATTCACATACTGTAGTTTTAAAGGATTTCAATGAAAGAGGCCAGTGTTTGTGATATTTGCATTTGTTGAACTGACAGTGCTCAGATTTAGGGGTCTGGATCGAGACACAAGATAAAATAGCGATGAGTCTATTTGTATCACACAACCCTGGGGATGCCGCATGCCAAGATGAGTGAGTATGAAACACACACACACACAGGCCTGGACTGTATATTTGATCTTGTGGGGACTTTCTGTTCATATATAATGTTTATAAATATATATATATAAGGATGAAAAGAATACAAGTACTAATGTTGTTTATATGTCGATGTGGAGTTTTTAATATGCTTAAAGTCAACCCATGTGAAAATTCATTAGTCGACACCATTGCTGAGTATTTTACCATTGCTGAGACTTTAAATGGTTTTAAACTTAGTTTTATGTGTCTATGTAAAGCACTTGTATGAATAACCGCTGTGTATGAAATGCACTACAGTATATAAATAAACCTAAAATGTATCAGAGACTTAAAGAAGTAATTCACTTTTAAAAAAATAACTTTTGCTGATAATTTACTCACCCCCATGTCATCCAAGATGTCATTCTTTCTTAAGTCGAAAAGAAATTAAGGTTTTTGATAAAAACATTCCCGGATTTTTCTCCATATAATGGACTTCAATGGTAACCAAACGGTTCAAGGTCCAAAAGACAGTTTCAGTGCAAACTGCAAACTGTTCAAAGGGCTTTAAACTATTTCAGATGATGAATAAGGGTCTTATCAAGCAAAACGAATGCTCAATAAAAAATAAAAAAAATACGTTTTATAAGCTCAAATGGTCCCCTTGCTCTGTTCTGTGATGCGTGTTTGTGACTCTCCTGTTCGAACTTGTTTATCAAAATGAACGAATCTTTTTTCGTGTGAATTGGTTCATTCAACGATCGCAATGAACGAATTGACTCGGGAAAAGATTCGTTCAGTTTGATGAACGAGTTGGAACAGGAGAGTCATGAACGCGCATCACAGAACAGAGCAAGGGGACCATTTGAGCTTATAAAACTTAAACTTTGTTATTTATTCATTAAATAAGCGATCGTTTCACTTGATAAGACCTGTATTCATTGTCTGAAATCGTTTAAAGCCCTTTGAACAGTTTGCACTGAAACTGTCTTTTGGACCTTGAACTGTTTGGTTACCAGTAATGTGCATTATGTTGCATTATAAAATCCTGGAATGTTTTCATCAAAAACCTTAATTTCTTTTCGACTGAAGAAAGAAAGACATGGACATCTTGGATGACATGGGGGTGAGTAAAGTTTTTTTTTTTAAGTAAACAACTCCTTTAAGACAATTGCCTAGCAACACCCTGGTAACCACCCAGAACACCCTAGTAACCTCCTGAATACCAACAACTAAAAATGCCTTAGCAATGAATTAGCAAACACCATTAATATTTTCTTGTTAAAGAAATGAACATTTCTTGTTGCTTCCATAAAGTCTAATTACTTAACACTTGGCCTATCCCCCAAAAAACACATTTTGACATTTCACAAGCCTTTCATTTTTGTGTTGACATCCCCAGAAGGTGATATTCTTTTTGGGACATTTTCTGAAATGTTGGTTATCAAAACCTGCCCTCACACACACACACACACACATTTAGACTCTTCAAACAAATGCAAACTGGCAGAATCCCTCCTGTCATCTTGTTCGCGCTGACACACACTCCACATTTCAATCTATGGAGGCGCTCCATCAAGTGTGCTACATTCACAATTACATGCCTTGCGTATTCTGCCTCAGACAGTTTTCATTTGCAGGAGAACACTTGACATTTCCAGTTGATGTGTTTTAAAAGCACTTATTTCTGAGTCTGCCGATCAGCCCGGGCCCTTCTGGCCCCAATGGCCCCTGCGCCACACTCAGACTCAGACGCATGACGAGTCCGCTGCTGGAGAAGCCTGGGATTAGTCAGCATTTACAACAACTCTTGATGAGTCGTTGTGGGAACCCATCTTCTTGTTTCAGAAGATTTAATATTAATAAGCCATATTGGGTGGGAATATGGACTCCGAATCAATTAATTTCGCAGCCGTGCCTTGACGATCCGCCGGACGTCATTCACCAGCATGCCGTAATCTCTTTTGCTCATGAGCAAACACACGAGACGGAACCAGACACCCTCGAAGGAACGAAGCAAATTCCGGCTCCCGCATATACTGTATGCGTCTGTCCCGCCGAGCGTAATGAACAGATGAGGGAACAGCGAAATTAATCACGATACCACTGTCAGTGAGCCAGTCGTTTGTTTAGTGTCTGACTGGGTTTTTATGCCTCCTTGCCATTTCATATACATTACTGTGCAGTCATTAAATGCTATTACTGCCTTAATCTAAATCCTCACTCAACACTCTCATTAAAGCATTTTGGCATGTCCTGAAAGAACATAACAAACGGCATTTGGTGAGATCTATGAGTTCACTGTTTATGACCAGCAGAACAAAGGCAGTCATTCTGAAATTGATTAACTGAATTCTTTATGCATGATTTTTTTCTGGAGATACCTACTCCCTCTTATACTTTCTTATTCGCTTTCTTTAAACCTGCTCCTTTCATCATGACATTCACTGGTTTGGGAATTGCTGGACATGAGCAGTTCAGTCAAAGAATATTCTTGGAAGTCTTTAAAAAATATGAAACTGCGTTAGCAATGCATTTTACTTCATATGAGTGAAACGCAATAATCAGTATGCTTATTTATATTTACACTACCATTTAAAATTGTGAGGTTTGTAAGATTTTAAATGTTTTTGACTATATTTTAATATGTAATTTATTCCTGTGATCCTTTCTTCAGTGTCACATGATCCTTCAGAACTCATTCTAACATTCTGGTTGGATGCTCAAGAAACATTTATTATTATTATTATCAGTGTTGGAAACAGTTGTGCTGCTTGATTTTTTTTGTCGAAACCGAAAATATTAACTGTTTTCACAGGAAATATTGGTATTAAACTGTTTGTTTTTCTTTCCACAGACTCCCAGAACCACCTTTGCAGTCCCCTGGAAGAAAACATTTCCAAATTAACCAGGATTTTAAAGGGGTGATGAACTGAGAAATCAAATCAAAATTTTCCTCGAGCTTTTGACATCTAAGAGGTCATCATATTATAAGAATATCCTGTAAGTTTCAAAACTAAAAGCGGCCTTGTTAGTCCAATATAAGCTTTTATTGACACCAGGCTCAGCAAACGACTCGTTTTTCAAAGTGGGGAACTATGACGTCAAAGAGGATAAAACACCACCCCCGTTGGAGAAGATCAACGCCGACTTCAACACGGCCGGTTTAGCCCCGCCCACCGATTCGCGCATTACACGCATAGCTAAATAACATAGATGCCTACCTCGTGATGACAAACCGGATCAAGTTACAGAGCAATAATATATATTGTGCAGTGCCTGGTTGTGGAAGAAGACAGTCGCTGCATAAACTTCCTCTGGATTCCAATAGGACTGCTTGTAAAACTTTATTTTTAATGACATTCCAGCAGATGAGGTAAAATATTGTCTGTCTGTTCGCGGGATTGTTTTGTAAACAAGACTGGATTTGCAGACCGATTAAGAGTAAAGAACGTTGCTGTGTCGTATATATTGGATCTGACAGGAATTGTGCAACACACGGACTCTGGGTCGAACATGTATGGGCGAATCATTCCGGTTGCCATTTTACAACATTTGACGTTTTCAAAATAATTTCCCCCAAGTGCATCGACAGGTGAGTTAAAACTCATTATAATATGCAAAACTGTTATCCACTCACAGCAGTGGGCGTTTACTTCCAAGTCTTCAGTGCGAGACGCCCATAAAAACCCAGCGTTTTTCAGCTAGGCTCAAAACTAGGGTAGAGAATAGCCTATTACTTATTCATTTTGATGTTTTTGAATGTAAAAACCAAGCGAACGTCATAAGTTGACCTCAGACAACAATATAATAAAATTTAAGAAGCCAGTTCATGACCCCTTTAATGAGAAAAAATAAGAGTGGTTGACAAGTCACCCAACATGACATCATGACTTTTGCGTAAACATACACGCCACTTTCGACTCAAATGGCGTGTCATCTCTACGCATTTTGAGCTATCCGTGTGTATGTCTACGCCATTAACGTCCAAGTGATTCCGCGTGTCTGTACACGCCGTCAAATGTCCGCACGAAACGAAGAAAAATGTAGACCTACATCTGGGGAGCGATCTTTTTCTTTCCTAGGATGGTAAGGGAACAGTCATAAATGCCATTAACCCCAGTGACGGTTAGGTTTAGGGACAGGGTTGAGGTAAGTCATATATTTATATATACAGTAATAACGTTAAGTCAACGGCGTTCATAAACACGCTGAAAAGCGATTATGCGTCTTGATAGCACGCCAAAAATGGAAATACGAATTTGCGTGTCATACACACGCTACTTCATGAGATCAGTCTGAGTCACCATACATACACCAAACACTCTCTCTGACACACTTACCCTGTGGAAAACGTATGGTCCAGTAAACGCTCAGGCACTGTTGTTCCATGCGAGCCCCTCGCTGACACTTGCATTCTTGCAGGGGCTGATAGTTCATGAGGTTGTTCTGGGCATCGACGCAGGCCTGTCGTGCCTCCAGACCCAGGGGAGCCACCGCCTCCTCGTCCACACAGTACTCCAGGTGCCGGAACGGTCGCTTACACTCCGGGTCTAACACGCATTCCTGTACAGCCTCGATGCAGTCCACAGTCCCGGGGAACACCGGCACCACTGAGGGAACACACCCTGGAGGATATTGGGTAAAGTCAATTAACCAAGTATTTATTGACGATGTGTTTTACTAATGAGCCAATAGAGTGCCGAAGTGATGACGTCACTTTGTAGGACAACTCGGAAGCTAGCGGCGCATGGGTTCCCTCGATCGAAAAGCTATGCATTTTCCCCATAGACTTTTGGAAAATTGCAAAAAATAAGATCTGTGTTTAACAAAGAGTTGTGACCCTTTCAAGTTTTGTCTATCAAGATAATCTTTACAAGTTAATCCAAAATGTAGCTGTACATTTTGAAGCCTATATAAAGTTTTTAAACAACACAAGCAGACACAATGAAGTTTAAAAACCACAAGCAGGTTATAACTGTGTGTTTTATGTCATAGATCAAATTGTGAAAATATCTAGAGGCTTTGTTCACCACAGACCTTATTTCAAGCGATTTAGCAAAAACCCATTTAAAAAACCCATAGACTTTAGAGCGAGGGAACCGGGAGTGCTAAAATGCTAACTCACTTCTGCGTTTTGGCCTACAGAGTGACGTCGTAACTACGGCACTCTATTGATTTTGCAGACAACATTTGGCAACAGTTGTGAGCTGGCCCAGACGTAATGCCACATTTTTGTATATGAAGATTCAAAAAATGTATTTAAACATCATAAAAAAGTCTTACAAACAGCTGAGACGCAGCATTCTGAACTGAATAGAGAATCAGTTTCTGAATTTGAGCAAACAGGATGTGGAAGTAGAATTAAAATGAATTGATGAAGAGGGTTAACTGTAACTTTAAACTAGAAAAGTAAAGTTTGCCATGTCGAAACTTTGGCTGATTGAATTGGAACCACTACAGTCCTATTGGTTAATATAAACAGTCATATTGGCCAAAATATTTAAAGGAGCTGTATGCAAGATTGTGGCCAAAACTGGTACTGCAATCACTTTCAAATTAGGGAGTATCCCCGCCTTCCCCCATGACTCGAGGTTGCCAGATATGCTGCAGGTCCAGCAGGAATATAGGCTGCTACAAGAAGCTTCCAATTGCAAGTGACGAGTCCTACACAGTGAGGTTTTTTTTTGTGTTAATTATTTATTTCAGATTTGTAACAAAGTATTTCGGATTCATATCGAGTTTTTTGGGGTTTCACAATGTTAGAGTTTTTTTTTATCCGATTCCGACACGTTTGTATCTGCAGGTGTGGTAACTAGAGAAGAGCTGGCAACCCGAATGCCGCAACACTACCGAGTCCGTGATTGGTAGATCGGTGGAGGGTGACGCATCAGAACAAAACACAACTTGACAACATCAACATCAGTCAAGGGCTGCGACTTCACTTTTTAAACGACAATATCCTGGCCGGACTACTGTTGTCAGTGATATTTGAAATGAACATGATTTCTTTATGTCTAGTGACATATCAGGGAAAATTTATGATTAATTGAAATACATTTCTTACATACAGCTCCTTTAATAAATGAATATGCAAAGGGGAAGGGAATATGTAGGACTTTGAGAATGAGTGGCTTTCCATTTCTGTAGGATTTCTGATTCTGTGTGTGTCTGGATATGACACATTACAGTTTCTGTTATACTATCTGCATTCTAGACGCACAGAAAACATTCTGACAGTCAGTGTCAGTGACCATGTAAAAATAGAGATCAAAGTCCCTTAACTTGCACTCAAGGGCTGAATTAATAATGTGTAAAATAATTTAAAAGAGAGCTCTTCTGTGAGAGGGAATTTGCCGGCTCGCAATTGCAGGAGGACAGAAGCAGAAAATCTTCATTCACCAACACCGTACATCAAGAGTTTCAACAGACACTTTGTGCTTTCTGTCCGTTCTCAAGCTCAATCCTGACAGACGTCAACTCTAGAGACCCTCGCCATCGGCCGGGATCTCGGGGTGACCTGAGGGGGAACTGTGACAGGGCTGTGTAATTTCATGGCTACTTTTGCTGTTTTTCATTAAGTAGCAACAGAAAAAGTCTTGCACTCCTGTAGAAGCGTGAGACATATGTTTCTTTTCCTTGTACTTCTCCCCCCTGACCCCCATCCCCCTTTGTGTCTGTTTTCTTTCGCAGCGGCAGGGGCTGTAATTGCACTAGGCCTCATTTTAAAGCGTGTGGTGATTGAGAACCCACGGCTGTGGCCGGCAGACTAAACGTTGGTCATGCTTTAGGACTGCACTACCACAAAATAGCACGTCCTTCCACAGCTCATGGAGCGATGATCCATGCATGAAAGACCATCTACTGCGGCGGACCGAGTTAAACAGACAAGTAAATACACTTTGATCTTTCACATATATGGTAAACAGTTCAATATTGAGATGCGAGTTTGAATGTAAAGACAGGTGCTTGTTCTGCCACTGTTTCTTTTTTTTCTTCTAATGGCCGGTACACATAGTACGTTATTGGGCTGTCCCCAGTGTTGTGCCTGAACGCGTTCATATTTTGGGCGAACGTGAACTGAACGTACTGTATTACTGCCTGATGAACGTTACTGTGAACGCGTTCATTTTGGTGTCTGTGAACGAACGCTCTCTCAGTTTGACTTCGTACAATAGGGGGCCAGATTTCTATAGAGCCTTCCGGGCGAAAACCCGGCTAAAACACAATGTAAACAGGCCTTAAAGGAGTAGTTCACTTTAAAAAAAAAAAAACTTTTGCTGATAATTTACTCACCCCCTTGTCATACATCCAAGATGTCCATGTCTTTCTTTCTTCAGTCGAAAAGAAATTAAGGTTTTTGATGAAAATATTCCAGGATTTTTCTCAATATAATGGACTTTACTGGTAACCAAATGGTTCAAGGTCCAAAAGACAGTTTCAGTGCAAACTGTTCAAAGGTCTTCAAACGATTCCAGACGATGAATAAGGGTCTTATCAACCGAAACGATCGCTAATTTAAAAAAAAAAAAAAACAAAGTTAAGTTTTATAAGCTCGAATGCTCGCCTTGCTCTGTCCTGTGATGCACGTTCGTGACTCCCCTGTTCGATCTCGTTCATCAAAATGAACGAATCTTTTCCCGAGTCAATTCGTTCATTTCATTCGTTGAATGAACCAAATGACAAGAAAAAAGATTCGTTCATTTTGATGAACTTTGATTGTCTTCATTTTGATAAACGAGTTTTCTCAGGTTTTCCCAGGCTACAAAATGCCCAATGCTAAATACCAAATTCATTTTCGATTAAGACTTTTAGTTTTAGACTTTTAGTTTTCAATCTGACCCAATAATCCCTCCATACTATATAGTGCAATATGTGCCATTCACCATGTAGAAAAGAGTAATCGTGTGAACAAGTGACGGATTTTAGCCTTCAGCCTCTATATTTTAATGCAGGGGGCGGGACGTAATGTGATGTCATCAAAATCATTGATCCATATTGGAGGAAGTAAGAGATTTTTAAAAAGAGAGTTTTAAATACTTATATCTTCTAAATGCGAACTAGCTTATATATAACCGTAAGGTTTATCAAAACAAAGTTCAATTTTGATTTCATGGGGACTTTATAAATTTTTATAATTAATAAAAAAATTGTATTAATTTTTTTATTATAGTTAATTTTAAATGTAATAATATTAAATAATTTATTTATGTTTGAATTAATATATAATACACTTTTGATATTTTTTATTTTTTGCGATTTTAATTATAATAAATAAAATTAATAAAATGAAAAACAGCGAGATACAATGCAACAACATATGCAAACAATAAATAAAAAAAAAATCTAAAAAGCATCCTTGGTGAAATCATGCCCCTAAGTCTGTTGTTGACTGTAGACCAGTGAGATCATGATCAATGATATGAAAATATAGCAAACAATAAATTGACTTTCTGTCTATTCCATTTTTACCAGTCTGTCTTTAAATAATCTCCACTTGGGGGCTGTTCTCAGCTAAATTTATAATGCAATTAATTAAATTAATTAAAACTCTAGATTATATTGAACTAAATAGAAATCCAAATTATAGCTTAATACATTTTTATTTACTATTATAAAATCAATAGATAAGCATTTCTAAAATCACATTTTTTTTCTTTTTAGAAACGATGAGCGACTCAGAGAACGAAGAGTGCCCAGAGGAGTCGAAAAGTGAGTGATGTGCAAGAAAGAAACAGAAAGAAAGAAAGTAAACAGAATGACAGACAGCAGACGCCTCACACAATAGGAAACCGTCTCAGTATGGAGGCTGATGGCAATCAAACACATGCTGGCCGGGTATTACGAGATATGTGTGTGTGCACGCGCACTAAAATCACATTTAACAAGTGACAGTGACGCACACGCACACACACACACCTTGAGGCTTTAAGTCTCCTGCACACACTGAGAGGGAACGACAGACGCAGTTTCTGCAGTGAAGCTCAGCTGTACAGGGGAGTGAAAGAAATAAAGAGGTGAGTGAAATAGAGAAAAACAGTGTGAGCGCCTACTGTAAATCTATCCTTGTGTGACCGTATTTATGGTCGGCGACAGCAAACCAGCTCCAGCTGTCGATACACGCAAGTCTAACGTGATTAACTAATCAATGCGTACCTCTGTGGTAAACGCAAGGCGCCACTACATCAAGATACATATCAAGAAAACGTCTGTTCCGTCAAACCACACAGAACTGAGGAATCCATCAGCTAAATTACAGCGTGCCACATCTCAGGGCCCCAAACCAACAATTTAGACAAATTACTCAACAAAACCATACACAAACAAAACCCTTGAACCCATTTAAAACAGTGCTTCAACACTCGCATCTCAAGAACGGAGTAAAAAGAAGCCATTAATGCTATATTTTCCTGACCGTAAATACGCTCGTATTTGCTATATAGACTTTCAGCACGCTCTGTTATTCGCTGCATTGAGGGGTTTTGTCAAATGTGGGTCAGAGCTCCGTATCTATTCACTATTGGTGACACGTCACATCAAAGCATGACGGTGGTATTTAAAGAACCGGGTCGGATGGGCCCGTCTGATTGACACTGAGGAGAAACGGAAGACAATCCGAGAGCCCCGGGAGGAAGGAGTTCACTGCAGGGACGTGATGCTGAGACGGTCCTCGGTGCTAAATCACAGCGCTCAGCTCCTTTAATGAAAATTGGCTACAACATCATCATAAAAGCTGTGTGCGAGTGGAGCTCACGCACACACTCGCTCTCTGATTCTGTCGCTTGGCTTGAATCTTACAGTCGAGGCGAGAGAGTCCAACACCATCTGCCGTCACTGTGTTTGCCTTTCCAAATCCTGGTTATCAACAAAACACACACGCGACCCTGAAAAGACCCTAAAAGTTCTCTCATATGTGGAGAAAACATGCCCGCGGGGAAGATTACCTTTTTGTCAACCGGCCCCTTGTGGTTTATTTAACCAGTGTTTTTTTTACCATTCCTCTTTGGTTTGCTAAAAATGGCAGTGTAATTAGACTGTCCCTGGGTATGTCCTTGGCTGGGATGCATCTGAGTGCATTATGGCATATTTTTCTCCATGCAATTAGTATATGCGCTGACAAAGCCCTGTTCACTTGTGTGTATTAAGCATCCGAACACATTTCTTAACTTGTGCAGCTTGTGCTTTTCACAACAACACAACAAAAAAAGCAAGTATGAGACGAAAGCATTATGCCAGGCATGTTTTTCCCAGACCTGTCAACAGCTGTCGCTGGCAAATGAGTCGAAGCTGCCAAAGTCCAGAGTTGCGCACGCGTACCTTTTCCCAAACACACCTGGGCACACGGCTGGCACGCATTGGCACATGCGCGTGCGTTTCTGCCGAAAGGCCTTCAGTGCACCCTTTTCAATGTGATGACGTGTTTCCGCAGTTATTAACATTGTAAAGCTTTTTATATTTTCATTTTTTTTTTTATTTTTTTTTTTAAAGATACATTTATAAGACTGTGTTTTATTACCTTGGCATTAAAGGAGTGATATCCAATTTGACATTTTCTCAAAAGTTCCAGAAGAGGGGTTTTCACATTAATGCCCTAGATTAGAAGAACCATTTTTGATTCCCCAAGAGCGTTTTTTAAAGGAACCATTTAAAAAAAATGAAAGAGGTTTTTTGCACTTTAAAGGGATAGTTCACTTTGAAATTAATTTTTGGTATGTTTTAGCTTACCTCAAGGGCATCCAAGATGTAGGTGTCTTTGTTTCCGCAGTAATTTCAGTTTTTATATTTTTAGGTTAAACCGTTCGTGTCTATCAGTCATATAATGGAGGTCTATGGTCACCACCTCAAAGAGCATGCACAGAGAAGTCCAAATTAAACATGATTTAATGACTCGTAAATGTAAGTGCACATTGATGGCCTAAGACACGAAATGAGCGGTTTGTGTGAGAAAACGAGCAGTATTTATATCGTTTTTACCACTTGTAATCATAGCCACGTCCAAGTGATCTGAGGGCGCGGGCACTTTGTGGCTAATTTGGACCTCTCTGTGCATGCTCTTTGAGGTGGTGACCATAGACCTCCATTATATGACTGACAGACAAGACTGTCAGGTGTTCTTTGTTTCCACAGTAGTTTCAATTTTTATATTTTTAGGTCAAACCGTTCGTGTCTATCAGTCATATAATGGAGGTCAATGGTCACCACCTCACACGAAATGAGTTTGTGTGAGAAAACAAACAGTACTTATATCGTTTTTACCACTTGTAACCATAGCCACGTCCAAGCGATCTGGATCACGCGTGCTTTGTGGCTGTGGTTACAAATTTGGACTTGTCTGTGCATGCTCTTTGAGGTGGTGACCATAGACCTGCTTTATAAGACTGATAGACAAGAACGGTTTGACCTAAAAATATCAAAATTGAAAATACTGTGGAAACAAAGACACCTACATCTTGGATGACTTTGAGGTATAAGCTAAAACATACCATAAATTAAAAATTAATTTCAAAGTGAACTATCCCTTTAAAGAACCTTCTGTGGAGTGGAAAGGTTCCATTGATGTCAAAGGTTCTTGATGGAACTTTAGATGCCAGAACGAGTGAGCTATTGCTTTTTTGCTATTGGAGCAAAAGAACTATTAAAAATGCTGTATTTTCAATTCACCCAATAGTGACGACTCCTGCTTCCGAGAACTACGGGTCCATCTGAGATTTGGTATGTTTGCACACATTTTTCCACCTCAGGTCGCCTCTTAACAAAAACATATTCAAGCAGCCAAGTCTTTATGCAAATACACTGTGGAAATGAAGTCTTTTTGCCACTTGATCTCCATCAGGGGGTCCCTTTGCATTTGGTGCGGCTGATATACGACCCGACCCCCAGGGATACACACAGCACGAGCGAGCACATCAAATCTGCAATCATTAACACAGCTAATAAATAAACCTGTCGATCAGCGCGCGCATTACAGCGTGTTCTCATGGCACCAGGGTGCGACAAACACCACTCATGATGATGAATGCCACTTGGGCTACAAAGCACTTGCTCCAGACAATTGCATATTGCGCCGTGTCGTCCTAGGTGGGGAAAGAAAGTCAGATCCGTCAAATGTTGGTTGCTGTGCTACGGGAACTCCATGGAGCTGCCCTTTACCAGCCTAATCTGTCTCTGTTTGTAATGTGTGTGTGTGTGTTCTTGCCATCACATAATTAGGATAATATTGACTGTGACAGATGTCTGAGATTTATTGACAGAATTATTTTTTTTAGTCCTGGTCTGCACAGATTATCGCACTCCTGAAATGTTTGAAATATTATGCTGGTTTGATTGAAAGGTGTGAAGAAAACAAACACAAGGCTGCTTAAGTACATCTAATTGACTGAAACGAAAATCTCACTGCTCTGTTCGGCTATTAAAAACTCTATTTGTGAGTGAAATGTGATTTTCCAAAACAAAGAAGAAAAAAAATCATGATATTCTATGATAAATTCTATGTTAAAGTATTACCGAAATGCCTAACACAGTATGCTACATTATGTTTGAGTGTTTCTTGAACGCCATTTCTAACTGTAAATCATATTAAAAGTTACAACATAAAGGGTTCTGCTATTGTTACAAGCCACATAGAGATCTGTTTATATTTGAGATATTCTTTCTTAAGAAGCAGTACACAGACATGTGTATAGAGTGACATACACATCTGTTCTGCTCAGCGCACAGCACTCCAGAAAATCAAGCCCTTTCTATTGTTTCAGCACAAGCACATGGCCCAGCGGTCATCATATAACACACCTGTGCAATAAGTTCCATGCAATTGTAATTGAATCACTGTTGTTCTGCCTTTTACAAATGTTATTGATGCAAAGCTATGTGGCATGAACAATATAATGCATGCACAATGTGAATCTCTGTCCAATATACATGCAATGATCCACAGCAGTGTGTCCAACTGGTCGAATTTGCGGTGTAAGATGCACTTTTGTCATATCTATAATGCATATTCTTCTAATTTGGTCTGCTGTTATGGTGTGCTGTGTAAATCTTTATATATATATATATATATATATATATATATATATATATATATGTCCCTGGCTGTCAATGAGCCCCAATTTTCCCACACGCAGGATCAATACAGTACATCTATTCACCCATCTATCTTTTTTCATAGACAATTTACAACACCAAGGTTTTATTATAGCAACAGTCCCATTTAGTTTGCCTTCTTAAAACAAAGAGACATAAAAAAAAACTATTCTATCATCTATCTATCTATGTATCACTTTACGTTATAAATACAATTTTTCACAGTTATACTAACAAAGTGTATTTGCAGGCAGCACGTTGTTCATTAACTCTGTACTTATGTAAATATGTAATGTAAATATTTTATGTAAATATACGTGGTCGTGTAAGTGTGACCCTGATGTGTCAAAATAAGTAATGGAGGCTGTTTCTTAGAGTCTTACCCTTAATGACGAACAGATTTAGAAGTATTCCCAGAAGGATCATGTCGCCTGCTGCTGGACGGTGATGATGCTGGGGAATCTCGGGGAAGCGCGTCTGGAACCCCCGGATCGGTCCAAATCAGTCCGACAGACTACATCCATACAAAAGGACCACCGTCCGAATGACAGAAATCTCCAAAACGACGTGTCCGAAAATCAATTCCAACTACAAACTTGTGCGATATCACAAGCTTTCTAATGCGCAAGAGGTGTCCGAAGAGCAGACCGATGCTTTCATACAACAAACGAGGGGAAAATTACAAACTGTCAAATGCACAAGCAGTAGATGTCCGTTATACTCACGATCGGAGTCTTTCTAAAATAATCCTCGATTTAAGCGAGTACCACCACCATGATAGACGCGTAACCAAAGGCGCGCGTCAGATGAGCCAGTGTGCGCATTAGTGCGCATCAGTTTATTACATGTGAGCGCGACCCCAGATGCTTGATTCCTGTTGTCCCACAGCACAATGTGCTCAATCCAGTCCTCAAACTCAGCGGCGAATTTTACATGCATCTGCCTCGCAGTGATTGGCTCGGCATTCTCAGGCGCATCCACGCAAAATCCCTGACCAGCCTTCTGGAGAGCTGGGTCCGTGCTCCTATAGGCTACACAAATTCAGCCTGCGCTGCCAGCATTTAAGTTTGCAAGTGATTCTTTCAGCAATAGTGAAATGTTACTGCGATTAAAAATAAAGCTTTTAAAACGATCCTTTTAAGATCCGATTACTGAATGGTTCTTAAGGTTTATCAAAAGATCAAGAACCAGATTAGGCTGTATGCTTCCTTTGAGATTAAGAGTTTATTTGCGAAAATGATAAAGCTTCTCCTGGCTGTGTGAACCCCTTTGTTATTCTTCAGTTGAGTGTAAGGATATTTGATAAAAATGTTTGTGATAGCCTAATGTATTTGGATTAATGTAATTATGTTAAAAACAGTCAATTGAGATTTAGTTTTAAAGATCAAGACTCACAAAACAATATCGGTGAAGCAATCCAGAAATATGGGAACAGGCGAGACTTCATCGGGAGAGTTCACAGGGTGTTGTGTTTCAGTTTGTTTACAAAACTCCATATTGAAAAATCCCCAAAGGGCGATGAACTGTCCAGACCGTGGATACTAACTCAACACTGTTTGAACTTTAGATTTTGAAGGTTAGTTGGCAGGACAACACAGAGATGCCTGCCCAAGGCTAAACATTTGTTCCAATTTCAGGAATTGTGAATGAAACTTTAATGAGAATTTGATTTGTCCAAGTGGTCTGACTCCAACAACTGAGCTATAATCAGGAGGCTTATGTAGATACACATTCGACTGATTGCAGCAGTGCAACAGCCTGCATGGTCATCTCTGTGTGTGTGTGTGTGTGTGTGTGTGTGTGTGTGTGTGTGTCTGAGACTTGGGCAGACAATCACGACCATTTAACTAATCAGAGTAGATGCCATACAGAGCATTGCCCTGATGATGTCACTTTGTCGTCACTTTGAGTGCTTCCATCTGGTTGGACTTTTTAGGGGCTGGAAAGCCACACTTCACTTATTCTTTTGTCCTCTCCCAATTTCAGGCAATCTGGCCACTCTTTCTGTCCTCTTTTCAAATCTAAGATGCCGTTTTATCAACCCTTTTCAAAGATGTGAGTGGTGCTTGCCTTCAAAACTCATACCACTACTTAGCCTATAATGTGTGCTATTGCTTCCTGGAGTTTTGAATGAACAATCCCAATTAGGGCTACAGCATCAAATTTATAATGTATAGGCCTACTAAAAGCCCACTACAAAAACACTCTTTTTATTTTTATTTTATAACCGAGTTGAAAATATAGGCCTCACTGCAGATAATCGAATTAGTTATTTCATTTAGTCAACATGAACCGTCTGTTCATTAGAATGATTCAGACGTTCCATATACAAATGAGAGGGCCAATTAGGATAAAATATTCATAGAATAAATCGGTCTTTCCAATATGACAGAGAGAGGACCATTTAGGACGAACCGATTCACTGGAATGAACAGATACATGGAAACTATCCAAAGCTCTGTTAATCCCAAAGCAATGAAAACTGTATCTCTATATTCATCCTTTATGTCCTCTTAAGGTGAATGCACTGCATTCCTGTTTTTATGTTACCCTGCAGGCAACTTATTTGTGTATGTGTATCTTATTGTATTTTTTTTTCTTTTATGTATGTTTGTATGTATTGCTTTAATGTTTAATTAAAAAGAGAGAGAGAGAGAGAGAGAGAGTGAGGGGACCATTTAGGACGAACCGATTCACTGGAATGAATCAAACTTTCCAACGTAACATGAGATGTTTTTATGAAACCAATCATTAAGTGAATCTAGACATGAACGTGGAGCATTTAGAACGAACCGATTCACTAGAAATAATCAGACTTTCAAATATGACAGAGAGAGGACCATTTAGGAGAACCGATTCACTGGAATGAACTTTCCAACATAACATATGAGATGTTTTTTACGAAACCAATTCATTAGAATGAATCTAGATATGAATGTGGAGCATTTAGAGCGAACCAATTCATTAGAATAAATCGGACTTTCCAATATGACAGAGAGAGGACCATTTAGGACGAACCGATTCACTGGAATGAATCAAACTTTCCAACGTAACATGAGATGTTTTTATGAAACCAATTCATTAGAGTTAATCTAGATATGAACGTGGAGCATTTAGAACGAACCGATTCATTAGAATGAATCAGACTTTCCAATGCTGCATTTGACAGAACAGATCACTTCGGATGAATCGATTCAAGTGAAAGAATATGACCTTCCAACGCGACTTGGACCATTTAGGTGAGCGTGTCTGTTAATTTTTCTAATCAGACAACATCAATAAAGCGTTTGGTTTCGCTAAATCGCAAAACTTTCGATGACGTTCGCTGCTGTTAAAGCTTACACAAGCCTAACTTGGGTCACTAACGTTACTTTAAGTTACTTACTGCTCCACAAAACTGCAATGTTTTGGGTGGTTGCCAGGGCATTGCTGTGCGGTTATGGTATACATTTTTGTTTTACCTCCAACAGTTCCACACTGGTGGTTTTCTTTCAACACAAAGATTTTCCATTCGCTTTTCCTTGTTCTCCTATCCACTCATCCCTCGCTCGGCTCATCATTGCTTTACGATGGCTGTGACCTTTTCAGTGGCACTCCACTATCAGACTCTTATCTCACTGCCAGTGTAGCCGAGCGGTCATTTATGAGGTCACTTCACAGAAGTGGACATTAGCGATAATGTACTTCCCAGTGACTCAGGTGTCACACACTATAGCGAAGGCCAGCGCGCGCACGCACGCACACTCGGCATGTAATCATCCAGCTCTGTGTACAATAGGCTACATGACAGAGATGTGGACGCTGGAACAAATTAAAATGTCCGTAGGTGGAAAAAATATTTGGCTTGATGAGAGAAGAGAAAAAAGACAATATATTTTCTTCAGAGTATTACACACACGTCACACACACACACACACACACTTTCTCGATCCCACTTGGTTTGTACGCTTGTTAGTTCCACTTGAAATGGCAAATGACAAACAATCAGAGGCAGTGAAGCAGTGGCTTACCAGCTCACAGAACCAGCCAAAACAAAACAAACAAGGCAATTACTGCAATTCACACTACACCAGTTCTCCATGTTAAACACACACACGCACACACACAGATAAACACAAAGGCCTTTGCAATTATAAACATTATTCTCATCTCTCGCAATCTATTTTTGACATGCAAAGTAACACTATAAGCGCGCGCGTGCACGCGTACCCTTGCTCGAGCAGCGGGGATATAGGCTACCCTGCACATTAAAACGACTAAATCCACTGAATAAAATATTTTCTCATCTCCAAGGTTATGAAGAGAAGGTGGAGAAAATCTCCTAACTGATTTTTTATACATCACTGGCTTTGCAGGGCTTTGATAACCTGAGGCCAAAAGAGGAAGTTGGCAGATGTGTTTAGTTTACGGCCCGTTTGAATGTCTCCCTCTCGATGGAACAGCTTGATGCCTCTGCGCTACACAAACAAACACACACAATCATAGTCATGCTTCTTAAGTAGTTTTAACACTATTGCTTTTGATCATGTAATTAATTCATAGCCTATAATTAATTGCTAAACGTCTAGGCCTACTGTGTTTGATACAGTTTAATACAGTTTTTGTAGCCTATCTCTCTTGCACACTGGTTTGATAGACTTTTTATGACTGGCGGTAAATTAAAGGCCTGAAATAGATAAAATGAAAGCATGCATGAACCGTGTAACAAATAAACATTTGGCAAGAGACGACTACAAATTTAAAGTTTTATTTGTCATGGACTGTATCAGTCTGTGAACACAATACAACATTTGAGGAAGTGTGCTAAGTCTATCTATCCAACTATCCATCCATCAATCCATCTAACTATGTGTGTGATGATTTTCACAATATTTGTATATTTATATATTTTAAATACTATTCTATTTAAATATATAAAAAGGCGGGGAAAAAACAAATAACTCACAAAATTAACAGAACATTTCCATGATCATGTATTCATTTTCTAATTGACACCATATGGGCTGTGAAATGATTAATCGCGATTAATCGCATCCAAAATAAAAGTTTTCATCATATATGTGTGTGTAGTGTGTATAATTAAATACACACATATGCATGTGTATATTTAAAAAAATATTTACATGTTTATACAAAATTCATAAATATTTGATATGTTAATAACACATTTTTCTTAAATATATACATGCATGTGTATTTATATATAAAAAATAATTATACACACTACACACACATATATGATGTAAACACAAACTTTTATTTTGGATGCGATTAATCGTTTCACTGCCCTAAAAATGATTTTTTTTATTCGAGTGCTAAAGACAAATTTGAATGGATAATGAAAACAATAAAAGTAAAACAGTATAATCTGCACAATTTTATTCTCCCCCAATCATAAAACTTATTTACTTCAAAATAATAGTGAGGTGTCATTATAAATGACACAATGAATAAGTGACATAACTGGAGTCTTCATGTTCAAAAGTTGTCAGGTTCTTCTCTCATTTAGGATTCATAATTTGTTGAGTTTTTCATGCCGGCAGGTCAAGTGCGACATATCCACCCTGTCATTGACAGAAAAACAGTTACTATTTATAGATAATTATTGAATCTTAATGCTAATGAGAAAAGCCCATAAACCTGAAATTTTAGTTGATCCCACCACTTATTCAGAAGAACCCATAATTTGTATTAATTCAGCTTGAGATGACATAATGCATTTTTTTAGCGCTTAAACACAGTAATTGTCTGATAGAAGGTTTTTTTAAAAAAAATAATTTACTTTAAAAGTCTGGTACAGACTGGTACTTCTGGTACAGAATATTTCATTAGTATTTTCTGTTTGTGATCTAGGGGGCAAATAGGCAAACACATGTGATTTATGAAGCAGATCAAATCTGAATGTTTGCCGAGGTGTGTAAATGTTTGTTAGTTATGCATGCAGTTATTGATATTTGTGGTTGCGGGCCCCTGGTGAAGGATGGTTTAGGGCAATGTAGCTCGCCCTGACCCCTGCTGGCGTTTCATCTGACCACAGCAGTGTGGCTGAAATCCTTAGAGATTGTTCTTGCCCAGCCCGATCTCATGAAAGTTCGTATCTATGGCACGAATGTCATTTCTCGTGGCATTTATACGCCAAAAACAGTTTTTGCGTGTATTTGGCACGCGATTTTCGCGTACATATGATACGCACTTTTTTGCGTATAATACGCACGAACTCCCCACCCCCCTCCCCCCTAAACCTAACCCAGGGTTTTTTAGTGCGTACCATATACACGAAAAAAACACTTTTGGCGTATAAATGCCACGAGAAATGACACTCGTGGTATAGATACGCATCTTCATGAGACTGTGTTACG